GAGGTGGTCCTGCTGCAAGTCCAGAGACATTGGCCTCGGCTTCAAAACCGTTCTTTGTGGTGACTCCAAAACCACCAACGGCGTCGGGATAATTGTCACTGAGCGGTTCCGTGACTCGATAGAGATAGACGCTTCGATGACCGCCTAATGAAGATCGTGGTAGTCATCGAACGCCAAAAATACCATCTCTTCTCAGCGTATGCTCCGCAGACTGGATGCTTCGAGCAAACCAGGGACACGTTCTGGAACCTGCTCGATGAAAAGACAGCTGAAGTACCGTTACAAGAAGCCGTAGTTGTCGCAGGTGTCCTCAGCGGTCACGTGGGTGCTACGAAGACGGTTATAGCTGCCATGGAGGTTTTGGATATGGGTCACGTAACACTGATGGCGAGCGAATGCTCGAATATGCAGACTCGCATAATCTCGCCATTGTAAACACAAGATTTCGCAAACGTGACTGTCATCTCATCACCTTCTATAGCGGTGAGAACAGAACACAAATTGATTCTGTCCTTGTCAGGCACCGCGATCAGGGGCTCGTAACAGACGCGAAGACAGTTCCCTATGAGACGGTCGCAACACAACATTTACCACTGATTTGTACGTTAAAAATCGCTCCGCCGAAACCGAAATCAGCAGAAAGGTGTGGGCCAGCGAGAATCAAGTGGTGGCGACTGAAGGAGAAAGAAGCGGCCGTCGTTTCCAGTCTTTTGTTACCAGCGGTAACGACGAGCGAGTCGACGAAACTTGGAAGGGAACTGCGGAAGCGATAACCCGGTTGCGCGGTCGAAGCTCGGCATGACCATGCCTGGACGGCGAAAGCTCGATAAGCAAACATGGCTGTGGAGGAACCATGTCAGGGATAAAGTCCGTGGGAAGAAAAAGCAGTACAACGCATTTCTTATCGAAAAGACGGTCTGGCAACGCTATCAGTTAGCGAAGAAAGAGACGAAGAAGGCCGTTGCTTCTGAGAAGGCAGCTCATGCCGATCTTGAAAGAAACTCGAGTCTCGTGATGGTGAGCGGTACATTTACCGGCTCGCTAAGACCCGCAACCGCCAGACCCGGGATATAGAAAGGTTCTTCGGCATAAATGACGAGGATGGTCACCTCCCGACATACCGCAAGCAAACACTGAAACGATGTTATGAACTTCAAAAACATCTCGGCAGTCGAATTTGCTCATCCCGCCATCCCTTGCGCTCCGCTAGTATACGGTCCCGTCCAGAAGACAACTATGAGGGAGACAATTACGGCTACGAAGAGGATGAAATCAGGCAAAGCAGGTGGTCCTGACGACTTAACAGCGGACCTGTGGAGATCGAAATGCTGTAATCCTGCAGGTTGGTTGACGGACTTCTCCAACCACGACGTCACAGAGAAGAAGGTGCCTGAGAGCTGGCAACAGAGCACGACGATCCCTATTTGAAAAGGAAGGGCAGTCCTGGAGACTGCACCTGCTACCGTCCAATTCGCTTGCTCTCGCACAACATGAAAACCTTTGAGCGAGTTGTAGACAGCCGTATCCGGGATACCGTCGAGCTGACCACTCGCCTAAAGCATCGCGAGAACGAAGACCGGTACACCTTGCCTTTCTAGACTTGGAGAAGGCTTTCGATCGCATTCCACGTTACGTTATATGGTATGCCTTACGACAGCATGGCGTACCCGAAGAGCTCATTGAGTGGGTGCGCATCCTTTACACTAGCCCAAAGAGCCAAGTACAAACGGCAGCGGGCATATCGACGGAATTTCCCCTCTCCGTCGGAGTACACCAGGGCTCTGCGTTATCCCCACTACTTTTTGGTTGTCGTCATGAATGCCATTACAAAAGTCCTCTAGAAACTAGCC